CCCCGCAGCCGCCGAGCCGGGCACCGCGGCGCGCGCCGAGCCCCGCGCCGGGCGGCGCCGCCTCTCCCTTAGCCCCGTTTAACGGGATCTTCTGGGCTCCGCTCTCCCTCCAGGTGGAACAGCGAGTCCCCGCAGGAGGCTGCGGTGTCTATGTGCTTCTTTATTTCTCTAAAAGTGATTTCCTTTCCTCTTTTCAGACAAAAAGCAGAGGGCGTTTTGCCTTTCAGGCGGGGAAAGGCCACGGTGGAATTCCACGGTTAAGTTTACCCGGAGTTTATATTTAAAAAGGCGCCGTTTTATCAGTGATGGATACAAGAGCGGCGCGCGCCAGATGTCTTTCATCAGCCCCTGTGTCTCCGAACACAGGCGCAGACTTTTGACTCCCTTTTGCAGGGTGAAATCCCGGCCCCACAGAAGTTAGTAGCGAAGCTCCCACCAGTTTGGTTTGGGCCAGGATCTCACTCACTGGGTATTACTGAGACCTTCATCACGCTGGAGATGCTGCCAAGGGTTTATGTCCAGCCAAACCAGCTGGGGGCTTCTGGAAGAGCTCCATGGCTTTATCCAAGAAACTGGCATCTTTCCCCCTATTTGTTCATGTTCCCTCCAAATACGTAAGTACTTCAGCAAAAACGGCACAGGGGCCAGAGCTCAGGGGAACCGGCATCGGAGGGACCTCTGGAGCCACTAAGTCTAGTCCTTCCTTATGGAGGCAGCAGTGCCATGTACTATCTTTACATTTACCTATTTCCACCTCAGACTAACAGGGTTCCTGTTCCTGGCTTTGGAAACTTCTGAGCCTTCTCCATGGGATCTCTAGGAACGTTTACCTTGCTTCTAGCTAAATTTATTCACAGGTATTGATAAGAAAGTATTTGGCTTAAACAGATCATGTTCTTGGGAATTACTCCTCTAAGACCCCTAGGAAGAAGAAATCCGATTCAATCTCTTTGCTTTGACCATCAATTTTCCAGAAGTGGCCTTACCAGTATCTGACACAGAACTAAAAGAATTTTCCTTTCTCTACCTGAAATACTAACAACTCATAATTATTCCATGGTTGGTTAGTATATCTTTGTCCTGCATCAACTCCATCCTATCACCTAATGAGAAATTCTTGTTAGTTCAGACTGCATGACCTCAGTTTCATCCCTTTCACAATCAGTTCCCATCTAGTCCTTCCAACGTAATGTTTGGTCCTATGTTCACAGGAGGAAATCCCTCCCGTGCTTACACCATCACCAGTTTCATTAGTACACTCCTACTCTGTCATACCAAGTTTATTACTCAAAGCATTACATAAAGTAATTCCCAAGACTGTTTTTTGAGGAAATGATCTGAAATACAGAGGGACAGGCCCTGAGGAGTGTTTCTGCACAAATAAATGTGCTAGTGTTAGGCTAGAAGGTCAGGCTCTCTCTTAGACTCAGTGCCAGTGAAACTCCTTTCCGTGGGGCAAAAAAGCTGCTGTAAGAAGTGGGGATAATGATCACTCATCCTCATCACCCTCCTGCAGGGTGTGCGGTTCTGCTCGCAGGGCCATAAAGGTCTCATGGAAACTGGGCACCTCCCTCCAGGCTTTTAAAAGAGGGATGATCGTGTCTGCCTTGTACGGCCCTGCCGTGTTCCGCACAAGCCTCTCCCAGGATACGGGGCAAGGAGCACCAAACATACCCCAGGCAGCATGTTTGGCACCTGTAGAAATTCAGCGCAAACAGCTGAGGCAACTTCAGGACTGAGCAACAGCTGCGTAAGGGGTTACAGGTTCACAGTTTTGGACTGCCATGCTTAAACGCTACATAGCTCCCTTTTAGGACCTGCCCTAAATCACCAAATCTCCTCCCTTAGCACAGCTGTTTAGAAGGAGGTGCAGTCCCTGCCGCTGGGACAAGCAGCGAGGCCGCGTGTGAGAGCCCGCAGCCCTTGCAGCATATTGGGAGGGAGGTTTTACTCCAAAATTGAGCAATGCTGTTGCTCTCTCTGCTAAGACACACTTGCAATACCTCATGGCTTCCTCTGAGTTTCTAACAGTCTCTTGGGCCCTAACAGCACAGCAAACAGTGACTCATTAATCTGGCAAAACACAACCATTGTGGGCTCTCTGTTCAGTTAGTTCTTGCTTTTTCCCTAACTCTCCACTGCCTTTTACTTCATTTCATGCCTAAATCCACACATGGACATGCCCATTGGTTGCATTTGCCAAAACTTTTAGAAAGGAATCTTTTAGCATTTTTACTATGATGTTGATTGTTTTTATCGTGACATGCAGTTAGGTGTTTTGCGATGGGGAAAGGAGTACTTAGCAGAGCCAGTTAAACCAGAGCACCAAACCTCCACTTCGCATCAGATGCTTTAGCTCTCCTCTCATTGAAAGTGTTTACAGCCCATGGGAGTCCAGCCTTGCTCGTTCATAGCTATGCAAATCACCCACTGTCTGTGTAATCAGGCTTATGAAATAGGTACACTTATAATGACGGACACCTCTTTGGTGAATGGGAATGTGAGGCATTTTGCTTAAATTCCCTTTAGATCCTTTGGTCAAAATCAGATATCCTGCTGTGCATTAGAGCTTTGTTATTGCACTATTTGATTTATACCTACCTTTCCCGCAGTGCTGAAGAGGCAGGACATGTGGAACAGAAAGCAAATATTCTTATCTCCTGCGGCTTTCATAATTACACGAAGTTCACATTTGAAGGGCAGCATTCCTTGTGCAGACACGTGCTTCCCTAAACTGAGGGATGCGCTCACACCTCCAGAAGCCAAATCCTGAATCTTGCAGCAGTAGATGAGAGTCTCTGAATCTCTAACACAACCATTTACTGGCTGAGCTAGGAGGAAGCCTAAAAACAAACACAAGACAATGTGACTTCACCATCACTGTGCTCTGGTAATTTAGTAAGCAATATTGCTTTCAGTTGACATTTAAACCAGGATAGACACAATCTCTTCTTATGTTTCTCTAAAGGGCTTTTCTTATTTTCCACCTACATGGAGTACTCCAAAGAATTTACAGGGCACAAGGTCTTAAAGCGAAATGGAGACAAAGATCTTAGAAGTTGTAGCAGTTCCATCAAGAGAGCTTGGTCAATAGGTTTTTATCTTGCTTCCTTGGCAGGAAAAGAACACATTGCTCTCTCTCCAGATGGTCAATCTAATGAATATGGAGCTTTTCAGACTGCTAAAATTGACTCTGCAGCAGCAGTAAGAACATTATGAGCTTTCAGCTACCCTACACAGTCTCTGGTTGGACTTCTTTGTTTACAGAAAATTCCTCTGTAGACCCTAAACAGCTTGGGAAATTGGTGAGAAGGGACAGGGATGGGTATGAGGAAATCTCCCCTTTGTCATCTACTCCATCCATTTAAGTTAAGAGCTTTCTGCCAGCAAGCTTATTAAGTTCCCCACCCCAATTCAGTATGAATAAACATATGTACAACAGTATATGCAAGAGGGCTGCCCCAAGTTCACACAGGCAAGCATTCTCCTTTAATATATCAAACAGATGACACTCCCAGGGCCCACTTCTTCCTTCAGCCACAAAATGTAATGCACATTTCTCACAGTTTGGCAGCTTGCTTCTTGCACTAAGCTCCATGTAAACTGTTTGAAGCCCTTTGTGCTCATGGTGGAGAGCAAGAGCAGGAGAGGATGAAGCACAAGCATCTTGCTGACAGAAGGAAACAGCCTATGATTTAGTCTCTACAGAGACTCTTAATCTTTACAAATGCTACACAAATGCTAAGTGATAGAACAAAATCTGGCTTAGCAAAAAGTGCTTAAGCAAAGTTGAACATCAATTCAATTTTAATTTACCTGTTGTCTCTTGGCCTAATAAATAAGTCACAGAAAACTCTGGTTTCTTTATATGGGAAGTGCATTATTTTCCTGAAAAGCTATGGCCAAAAAGTGCAAATCACACGGAAACATGACCAAACTAAGAGCAAGAGGTCCTGACACTAAACTCTTTACTAAAGATAAAATTATTTTATCTTTAGTATTAGAAGGCAGCAGAACTTGAGTGACTCTTCTTATCGAATGGAGCTCTGTAGAAACCAGGTAGTGAACACAGAAACATGCTACAAATTCAGATACAGTTTGGGATTAGACCCTTTGTCTCACCAGGGCACAGTAGAGTTAGATATTGTTTTGGACATTAATGTCTCTGATGGGAGATGCTGTTGATACTTTTCAGTTTTCTCCATGAAGAACTTGCTTTGCGCAAACCCAAAAATCATGAAATAATTCATAAAAAAGGCTTGTATATAATGCAGTCAATAAAATAACAGTAGCAGAACATTGTAATTGGCTTGGCTTTGCAAAATAGAAATGTGAATGTGTATACTGCCTAATTGGGTGTCAGAACTACTCAGCATTTCTTCAAAGCTTTGGGGATGCACTGAATAAAATGGAATGACAATGGTACATAAACATCTGCACAGTAGTCGAACCCATCAAAATCCCACATCTTTATTGCATCTTCGAGAATTTCTCAAAGGACACCAGTGCCACACTGAGACAGCTGCAGGAAAACACAGTATAGTTATACAATATAGGTAGTGCCCGCTCACATATGGCTACCCATAACATGCCCATGGCACACCCAAACAAACAGTGACATTCGTCTGAAGCCTGGAAATGGCACAGCAGCACTCACGGCTGCTTTTCTTTCTGGTCACATAGGATTTCATGACAGAGGAGTTCTCCAGCTTGCTGAGTTGATCCCACACCACAGAGCTTGATGGATTTCTCACCATTGATACAGTAGGAAAAGGTTAGAGTGGAAATAAAAGGGATTATTTCCTCTAGGAAGGAAGGAAGGAAGGAAGGAAGGAAGGAAGGAAGGAAGGAAGGAAGGAAGGAAGGAAGGAAGGAAGGAAGGAAGGAAGGAAGTGGATATTTTAGCTACATTAACCCTACTGATAGTCTGGGTCAGTAAACTGAGGCACTGTTTCCCCCTGAAAGCAGCAGGAGTCGGTTAACCAAAGACTCCTCAGCATGAGGGCCCAAATCATGTGGGCACTTTAGAAACACTTTCCATTGCCCTGCAATCTTGTTCCTCTCTTCTCATTCTGTTAGCACTGAGGTCCCTGACCCATGTTTGGGACTGGACTGTGCTGTAACTGGGCTGCCTTTGGTAGCTCACGCTGGGGGCCGCATTCCAGCAGCTGTCCCGAGGCAGCTCCCTATTCCTAAGGGTCACAGCTCTAGGAAAAGAAGTCCCTGCTGTGTCCAAAGTCACTCCAGACTAGAGCCCAGCCGTCTGGGCAGTTTGGGAGACCAAAGGGCTTGGGCTCACAGGCCAGCCTGTTCCCTCAGCTGACGTGGCCACACGAGAGATAAATAAATGTAAGTGTTATCACTTACATAAACATACATGAAAATAGAAAATAAAGCCTCTTTTCAGAACTGTTTGTGCTTTCTCAGTAACCACCGCTCCTTATTTACCAAGAAAAAAAAAGAAGGTCACATAGTAATGCTTCTTTTCAGAGCGTTGGTCCCTAGAGTTGCCTTGCGAGATAAATATCGCTTTTTCCACCAGAGTGCTGGGAGGAGGAAGGAGCGGCCAGGCAGCCGCAGCCAAAGGACAGCGCTGATGCCATGTGGGCCGTAATGGAAAACATTTACTCTAAAACAACAGGCAACGTGGAGTAGCGATGCTCCAGTCTTCTTGCACAGACAAGGCTCTGCAAGAGGCCCTGTGACCCCACCGGGCGCATTTACACACTGCTGTCTTGCTCCTGCCGCTCCTCCTGTTTCATGCTTGGTGAAAGTTTTCTCTGCACAAGCTCTTTCAGTCTCACATAAACTGAGAGCATGAACAGCATTTAAAAAAAAAAAAAAAAGAGAACAGGGTTTAAATCTGTGTTTAAGGAAATTATTTCTATAAGACAAACTTGATGTCACTTGCAGATCATTGCCTCACACTGTGTTTTAAAGACAAGATGCTCTGCTGGGTCAGCAGTGCAGTACCTCTGAAGTGAACACAGCTCCGCCAAGATTTTAGTTTCAAGGGTTCAGCGGTAAGAAACAAATTGTAAGAGATATATTGTTGTCCTTCGGAGAACCAGCTGAGATGACTCCTTTACAAAGTGCTCCTTTGTAATTCACGAAGAACACAAACAAGTGCAATTTCTTTTACATGCACTGCATAAATAATAATAAGGTCACAATACACGCAACCATACTATGAAAATAAAACAGAAACGCTGGAGCGTTTGCCTGTTTCGGCGAGGAGGTGAGAGTAGACACGGTACAAGCAGATAGGGAACACTTAGGTCAGAAAGCTGCTGTGGGACAAACTCTGGGATCAACCTTGCGTGCTCAGGGGGAGGGTGGTGAGGGGCTGTCCTGCCACAGGTCTCTCCCAGTGGATTTCTCAAGCCCGTACGAATGGGCTGTGTGGGGACTATATGGAGTCTATGTGTTCTACGTAGTCAGCCCCAAACCCTGGTGCTCGGCCTCCAAGCCCGCGGGCTGGACGTGGCGGAGGCGGCAGCCCTAAGCTGAGCCGGTGCCAAGGAAGCGGCTCGGTCGGGAAGCAGTGCTGAGCGGAGCCGAGCCGGGCTTGCTAGGGCTCAGCGCCGCTGCCGTGGCGGGGCCGGGCGGGCGCTGCAGCCCCCAGAGGCTGGATAAAGCCCCCGAATGAAGCTGTAACGAGGCACAAAGCAAAGTCTGCGCCATGGTTACAGGTCCCTCAGGGACGGGGACCAGGGGCTGCCTCGGCCCGCGGGGGCTCCGCGGACGGCAGCGCTCAGGCCAAGGCCCTGTCCCCACGGGGCGGGTCCCGCCGTGAGCCGGTCCCGGAGCCCCCCGCGCTGGGGCAGCCCGCGGGGGGCGGCGGGCGAGGAGCCCTGGCGCCCGGGCGGCCCCGTCCCGCCATGGCGCCCCTGGGGACCGGGGGGCGGCCCCGAGGGAGGGGCGGCGGCGGCGGCCATGGCCACGGGCGGGGGCGGGCCAGGCCGCCGCCATCCCGCGGCGCGGAGCATGGAGCCGGCGCCACGCCGCTTCTCCGAGGAGCAGTTTCGGGCCGCGTGCCGCGAGCTGGACGCGCCGGCGGCGGCGGGGGGCGCCTGGCAGCTGCTGGTGGAGAGCATGGGCGTGCGGATCTACCGGCAGCGCCACGAGGTGGGCGGCCCCGGGCGGCGGCGCCGGCTCCGGCCTGGCCCCGGCTCCGTTTCCGCGGGCTCCCGGCAAGCGGCTTTGCCGCTAATGCCATTAACCGCGCCGGGCCGAGCGGCTCGGCGGCACCGGCGGGGGGGCCGCGCCGCCCGGCCCT